CTGTCTTTCTGGTGAGCGCACGCGCCCAATAGCAAAAACCTTTCCAAAAAAATATTTGAGGGGATCTTCATAAATTCATGGAAAATGCATATTATGGATAAAAACTATGCATGGACTTAAAAATATTTTGGTACTAAAATAAATGTATACTTTAATTTCATTTTTCTCTAAAAAAATGAAAATTTAAAATACAAAGGCCCCTCAGCTTTTTTAAGAGAGCTTTTTTGCTGTAGGTTGCATGTGCTCACCAGAGAGACAGAGACAGAAAGCTAGAAATCACCCCCCTGGGGGGGGAATGGCCACTCTGGAATCCTTTCTCCTCACTTCTCCTCTTGGGGTTTTGGGCATGCATACACAGGTGCCCAGCTTGAGTTTTAAGCTCCCGGGTCTGAGATTCTAACCACAGTCGACTACGGGGGAGTCCAACAACGTAACCATTGCGCCATCTGCTGGTCCTGTCCCCTCATATTTTATTTGGCTGATAGCTCCTCTAGATGACATGTTTTACTAACCTTCTTTATTTCTTCCTACTCTAAATATCCTCCCTACCCCATGTGCTCCGAGGCCCTGATTGAAGCCCATCTCTGTCTGGTTTGCAGTGATTACAGCGGCGAGATCCTGAACAACTGCTGCGTCATGGAGTATCACCAGGCCACAGGCACCCTCAGCGCCCACTTCAGGAACATGGTGAGGCTGGGAGAAGAGGAAACACAGTTTGTCGCTGTCCATTCGAGGGCTTTATCGTCTTCCATTTCTCCTTCGTAGTCCCTGAAGCGAATCAAGAGGTCTGACCGTCGCGGAGCAGAGTCGGTGACAGAAGAAAAATTTACAATCCTGTTTGAGTCACAGTTTAGTGTTGGTGGGAATGAACTGGTCTTTCAAGTCAAGGTGAAGTCCTTCCTCCGCTCTGTGTGTGTGTCTATGTGTGAGATACTTCACGGGACAAAAGACCATGGGTCAAATTGTATCTTCTTTTTGAATATTGATTAACAGAAAATGGGGAGGCTACATCCTTAGAATTGTATGTCTTAGAGTCTCCTAAGACATGAATAAGTAATAACAGACTGGAATAACTGCAGGTGTAGGTAAAAAATGAATCATGAGAGACATTACTCAGCATAAATTGAGTGAAGAGCGTGGTAAGATTTAAACATTTGCTGCTTGTTATTTTTTTTTCCCAGAAATGTTATTATACTCTTTTCGCTCTTGTTTTCCATGGAATTTTGGGAAACTGACTCCATCCTTCAGAAATATCTACGTAACGTGACTTGTAAAAATATCAGCCATGTCTGAGATTACGCCAGTGTGAAAAGTCATTTTATTCATAGGACTGTTCCAATTCTATATTCGAGGGTGACATTTACTGCAACTTGGAGAACAAAAGTATTGTGACAATAAGAAAAACAGAAAGGGACGCACTTGAGGCTGTGAGAGCTCAGTCTCCTCTCTGTCTTTTTAGACCCTGTCCCTCCCAGTGGTGGTGATTGTTCACGGCAGCCAGGACAACAATGCGACGGCCACCGTCCTCTGGGACAATGCGTTTGCAGAGCCTGTGAGTGGATTCCTTGGGCTTGTGGAGCTCAAGATCTCAATGCTGGTGTCATGAATATCTTTCATATTTCTTCTTCCAAAAAACATTTTAAAAATGCTGTTATCCTAGGAGAGAAAGAATGTGGTAAGCGGAAGAGATATGAGCTTAACAAATGAGGCCGAGACCTCTGCCACCTCCTCACTCTGTGGCCAAGGGCAGCTCACTTGATCTCCCTGAGCTTTAGTTCCCAGTAAGAGTCTGCAGTACAGGGACAGTGTCATACAGTGGCATGGGTGGGAAGATTAAGTCTGATAATATGGAAAATGCTCATCACACAGACAGTACTCAATACATGTTCATTTGAATCCTAGGTAAGACCGTGAATGGGATTTGGGATTCCTAGGTTCCTTCTGGAAGTGGGACCTCTCAGGAGGTCACTTTAGCTTAGAAGCTGCTGTATGTCATCTTGCTTTTAATAAAGGAGAATGACTTTAAATGTCCTTTCCAGATTTTAGATTCCGTGATTTGTACCAAGTCTCTCATGAGGAGAGACCGAAGGCATGGATATAGGTTTGTGGGTGTATGTGCCTAGTGCTATCTGAGTACCCCTAGAGCACTCTCTGAAGCATTGCCCAACATCTCAGTGGACAGAGGTCTATGCAGTACATACTTCTAGTACAGAGGAGTCCGCAATGCATCAGAGAAGGGTTAGCACTAGACAGGCCCCAGAGTGTAGTGGTTAAGCACTGAGCAGTGAAGGCTGGATCCCATAGGGTCGACTGTGGCTAGGATCCTAATGGGGTCGAAAAGTGGTGAAAAATGCAGCGTCACTAGGCCCCATTGGGGTGGGGTGGGGGTGCCCCCCCCCCCCCCCCCCCCCGCCATTCTGGCTTTTACAAATAAAAGAGTTACCATTATTTGGGACATAATAGTATGTGCTTCTCTAATGGCTGATGCGAAAGTTCTTAGCATTCCCAACAATCCTCTTTAGAGAAAAATATTGAACTATAAAGGTGAGATTTTTTTATGAGATTCTACTGTGCTATGCTATAGACCTTTATTTCAAGGCTGCTGCTGCTTTTTTTTTTTTTTTTTTAGCTGTTTTTGCTATAGGGCGCATGCACTCGCCTGAAAGACAGAAAGAGACAGAGATACAGAAAGCAAGAAATCACCCCCCGGGGGGATGGCCACGCTGCAATCCCTTCTCCTCCATTCTCCTCTCAGGATCTTGGGCATGCATGCACACACGCCCGGCGTGAGTTTAAGCCACCAGGTCCGAGACTCAAACTGCGGTCAACTACACAGGAGTTCAGCGGCATAGCCATTATGCTAACTACTGGTCCCTAAGGCTTCTTTTAAAAAATACCTATGTGCAGCTTGCCCTGATAAGCCTCTTGGAAAAGATTACCACATTGTTTCTTATCTCCTTCCCTGCCTGTCCGAAGATTTCACTGCTTGTGTAGTTTAGGCACTTTCTGTAACATGTCTACCAAGCAGCTTGTCTAAGTTGGTAAACATTTTTACATCTTCAGTTATGTTAATGACCAATGTACATCTGATGCGATTTTCATTTATTTTGTTTATTTATTTTTGCCATAAGGCACATGTACTCTCTGTAGAGAGAAAGAGAGAGACAATGAGAGGGAAAGTGAGAAGTCACCCTTTTAGGGGTGACGGCCATGATGCAGTCCTTTCTCCTCCATTCTCCTGCTGGGATTTGGGCATGTACACATGCATGCCCAGTTTTCAGGCCACCAGGTCTGGGGCTAACTGCAGTGAGCCATGTAGGAATCCAGCACCTTAACCACCACGCCACCCTCTGGCCCCACATCTGATGCTATTTTAGAAATAAATACTTGTAAAAATGTATTATATAGATCTATTTGCCTACTTGACTGTCAAAAGTACATTTCAGCATTGTTTATACTAGCTGAAGACTATTACTTAGATTCCCATCTATGGGGGTCTGATAAAATACGGTATTATTCTTCCATAATATAGATTGTTTGGCAGCCATACAAAGTAATGAGTAATTTCTTTATGTGCTGATATGATACTGTCTCAGAAACAGTATTAAGTGTGGCACATATATTGCTATGGAATACGATTCAGCCATGAAATATAAGACCCTGGCATTTAATAGAAAGTGGGGGACCAGCAGTTGGCGTAATGGCTATGTCGCTGGACTCCCATGTAGTCAACCGCGGTTCACATCCCGGACCCGGTGGCTTAAAACTCAACGCCGGGCGCATGTGCGTGTGTGTCCAAGATCCCGAGAGGAGAATGGAGGAGACGGGATTGCGGCGTAGCCCTCCCCCTTGGGGTGTGATTTCTCGCTTTCTGTCTCTGTCTCTGTCTGTCTGGCGAGTACACGCGCCCTATAGCAAAAACCTCTCCAAAAAAAGAAAAACAAAGAGAATTAAAATAATCTAAAAAAGTGAAAAGCTGTTTGCTGATGATAATATGGATAGTAATGTCTTTGTCTTAACTGATATGCATGGTTAATTGTGCTGGAAAAAGAAATGTTATATACTGTAAAGATATATTGATTAAATGTAATATAAAAAAATAACAAGAGAGAAAGAAAAGAAATAGTATTAGGACCAGAAGTTGGTGTAATGGCTGTGTTGCTAGACTCCCACGTAGTCGACCACGGTTCGAGCTCTGAACCCCGTGGAGTGCCAGGCAGGTGTGCGTGCGTGCCCAAGATCCCAAGAGGAGAATGGAGAAGGGATTGTAGCATGGCCATCCCCCCTGGGGGGTGACTTCTCGCTTTCTGTCTCTCTGTCTCTCTCTGTCTTTCTGGCATGCACCCTATAACAAAAACCTCTCCCCCAAAAAAGAAAAGAAACAGTATTAAGTGAAAAAAGAGAGATGCAGGACATTGGGTTTTGAGCGACCATTTGTGTTTGGGAGCAAAAGGAAAAATTGTAGGTAATTTCAGGCATGTATTGAGTATGTTTGGCAATATACTCAAGGAATTAGATTAGATGTCTTTGAGGAAAAGAACCAGATTGCTGGGGAACAAGGATAAGAAGTGACTTCACTGTATGCCTGTCTGTACTTTTTTTCCCAAAGTTTTTTTGCCATAGGGCATGTACACTCACCAAAGAGAGACAGAGACAGAGTGAGAGGGGAAGTGAGAAATCAGCCCCTGGAGGAATAACCACATGCAATCCCTTCTTTTTCATTCTCCTCTAGGAATTTTGGGCATGCACACACACATACCTGGTGTGATTTTCAAGCCGCCAAGTCCAGGACTTGAAGCATGGTCAGCCATGTGTGAGTCTAGTGCCTTAACCACCACACCACCTGCTGGCCTCCCCTCTGTGCTTTTTTAAACTTTACATCAAGTGAAGAAATTACTTATTCAAAAGAAAATGTTGTAACAAAATAAAGTGAAATACTCTCACTGAATGGGATAAAAAGCAATTTGTTAAAAATCTGTATTCTGGGGGCAACAGATGGCAAAGCATATTTCAAGTCCCAGACCTGGTGGCTTGAAAAATGCCGAGTGGATCGGAACCAGCAGTTAGCGTAATGGCTATGTTGCTGGATTCCCACGTAGTCGACCGCGGTTCGTGTCCCGGACCCGGTGGCTTAGAACTCCCACTGGGCACGTGTGCGTGCGTGCCCAAGATCCTGAAAGGAGAATGGAGGAGAAGGGATTGCAGCGTGACCATCCCCCCTGGGGGGTGATTTCTCGTTTTCTGTCTCTATGTCTCTCTTTGTCTGGCGAGCACACGCGCCCTATAGTGAAAACCTCTCCAGAAAAAAAAAAAAAAATGCCGAGTGCATGTGCATGTGTGCCCAAAATACCAAGGGGAGAATGGAGAAGGAATTGCAGATAGCCATCCTCCCGGACGATGATTTCTCACTTTTCCTCTCACTGTCTCTGTCTCTCTGTCTGGCTAGCGCACGTACCCTGAGGCAAAAGCCTCTTTTTAAAAAATCCATATTCTGAATCAGTTTTTCTTTTTTTAGGAATTATTTATTTATTTATTTTTATTTATCATTTTTTAAAATTTGACCAGAGAGAGAGAGAGAGAAAGGAAGAAAGCAAGATGCCAGGTCTGAGACTTGAATCGTGGTTGGCCATGTAGGAATCCAACACCTTTAACCACCATGCCACCTGCCGGCCCCTTTTTTTTTTTAGAGAAATTTTTGGTATAGGGCACGTGTGCTCACTGGAGAGACAAAGTGAGAAACCCTCCCCAGGGGGGTGAATATACTGTAATCCCTTCTCCTCTATTCTCCTTTTGGGATTTTAGGCACACACATGCATGCACACACATGCACGCACACACGTGCCCAGTTGTTTTAAGCCACTGTGTCTGGGACTCGAACTGCAGTTGACTACATGGGAGTCCAGCAACATAATCATTACTCCATCTGCTGGTCTCCTGAATCAGTTTTCAATAAAATTGTCTAGCTCTCCATTTTCACTCTTCCAAACCTCGCTGTTTCCCTTTGAGCTAGAGTTCTTGGCGAAGAAACCAAGAGCAAGTGTTAGACATGAGTTTCTCACTCTCGCTCTACCTAGAGAGCCAGTCTTTTCGATTTCTCAGTTTCCAATGAGTTTACAATGTAAGAGTCGGACCTTGGTTATGTTTTGTTTTCCAGTGAGTTTACAATGTAAGAGTCAGACCTTGGTAGGATTAGTCTGTAGGTTTAGCAACTCATTTCCAAAACAGCAGAGAGCATGAGATTATCCTCTCTTCATGTGTGAAGAAGTAAAATGGAACCCTCTGAACATCACAGAACTGCATCTACCCCTCACCCCCCAAAAAAGCAAGTTTGAATTCTCAGGCTCAGCAAGACAAACGTTTGGAGCTACTTCTAGCCATCGATGTTTTTCTTTTGTGGCTTGAGGGAATAAATCATGCAACTGTTTTCTCATAAAAGTCTGGCCTCCCTCCCTCTAGGGCAGGGTGCCATTTGCCGTGCCTGACAAAGTGCTGTGGCCGCAGCTGTGTGAGGCGCTCAACATGAAATTCAAGGCCGAAGTGCAGAGCAACCGGGGCCTGACCAAGGAGAACCTCGTGTTCCTGGCGCAGAAACTGTTCCATAACAGCAGCAGCCACCTCGAGGACTATAACAACATGTCCGTGTCCTGGTCCCAGTTCAACAGGGTGAGGAGCGGCCGCCCCCCGCTGTTAGATCAGTCCCTGTAAACCAGATGCCTTCCGGTGTCTCCCCGCCCTGGGCCCTCGTTCTTCATGTTTCTAGAACAGACGTAGATGGGCAACTTGGACGTAATCCAGGACTCATATGGAAAGGCACATTGCGTGTTTTAAGTTAGGCTTTGTGTACAGTTAATGCAGTTTTGTCTTTATAAAAGAGGCAGAGCAAAGCAAATGTTAACACAGCTCAAGAAGTAAAGTTTTGATTGGAATACCATAGCTCAGTCCCATTCACTTTTTTATTATTACTTTTTTTTTTATTTGACCAGAGAGGGAGGGAAAGTGAGCAAGCAATCTACCAGGTCTGGGACTTGAACTGCAATCAGCCATGCGGGTGTCCAGCACTTTAACCCCACTGCCACCTGCTGCACCCAATGTTAACACAGCTCAAGAAGTAAAGTTTTGATTGGAATACCATAGCTCAGTCCCATTCACTTTTTTATTATTACTTTTTTTTTTATTTGACCAGAGAGGGAGGGAAAGTGAGCAAGCAATCTACCAGGTCTGGGACTTGAACTGCAATCAGCCATGCGGGTGTCCAGCACTTTAACCCCACTGCCACCTGCTGCACCCCCTTTACTCTTTGATGCCTCCTGATGTACAGGTTGACCTCCTGTGAGACCGTCAACCCACAAAAGGGACATGGATAAAAGAAACTTCTTTAAGCATCTGGCAATTAAAAAGTCACATGTCAAATCTTTGACTGATTTTAAATTTAACATTTTTTTTTAGTTTATCAGAGGGTGTACATGGTCGCTGGAATGAGAAAGAGGGAAAGTGAGAAACATGTGTGTTCCCCATTCCATGAGGAATGGTCACGTCGCAATCCCTTCTCCATTTCTCCCTCCTTTCAGGATTTTGGGCATACATTGCCCACGGGCCCGGTGTGTTTTTCAAGCTGCCAGATCAGGTATTCAAACTGCCCAGCTGGCCATGTGGGATCCAGCTCATGTAACCACCAGGCCACGGTCCTTTAAATGTAACTTTTCTACTTTTTTTGTTTTTAAACAATTGGCAGGTGGCACTTGTGCTTGCTGGAGAAACAGGAGAGAGAGAAAGCACCCCACAATTGGACATAGTTACACCAAAATTCTTTCTCCATTTCTCCATTCTATAGAGATTGGGAGGCACACACCAGGTGTTTGTTTTTAAAGAATTATTTATTTATCATAATTATTATTTTTTTAACTTACTATAGGGCATGTGTGCTCACTAGAGAGAGACAGAGGGAAAGTGAGAAAGCAAGCTGCCTGGTCTGGGACTTAAACCACTGTTGGCCACGTGGGAGTCCAATGCTTTAACCATCATGCCACCCACTGGCCCTGCTGGTATGTTTTATCAAGCTGCTGGGGTCGGGATTCAAACAGTACAATCAGCCATATGGGATCTGGGCCACAGGCTGATCCAACTTTCCTTATGTCCCCTAGTCCCTTAAATTTTTTTTTGAAGAATTATTTGTTTTATTTATTATTATTTTGCATGAGTTTCGCCATGGAGAGAGAAAGAAAGCAAGCTTCCAAGTCCAGGACTTGAACCTCAGTTATCCATGTGGGAATTCCAGCACCTTAACCACCACACCACCTGCTGGTCCCTGTTCCTTAACTGTTTTAAATACCCTTAATTCAGAGAGCTCATGGTCTCAGTCTTTTAGATGGTGTTGCATTAACAAGTTGGCCAATGCTGGTAGTAGGAGGTTTGATAAGGGAAACAGGTGGTCTCAATGGTCTATCTTTGCCATAGCAGTAAAGCCTCTGCCTTCTAATTGAATTAAATAGCTCCATTTTGCTGACAGCAGCTGGGAACATCTGCGTGATGAAGCCATCCTGCGGCCTTACAGTGTGGTCTAGGCCTGTTCAGATGTGTATCAGTTGGGCTTCTTGTTAAAATGTAGACCGATTCAGCAGGTCTGAGACAAAGCCTGAATTTTTTCCTTTCTCAGAAGCTCCTGGGGGTTGTCAATGCTGCTGATACAGACCACGCATTGAAAATAGCAAGGGGCTAGTCCGCCCAGATCCAGGTGAAAGTGTTCCCCGCAGGGCCCAGTGGGCATTGGTAATGACACTTCATTATGTTCCCTTTCTTTCCCCTTCTCCTCTCCATTCTGGTTTTTTATTGTAGGACCATTTGGTTAAGGGGAGGCAGGTATATTTATATGCTTTATTTGCCATTTAACTTTTGAAAACTGAAGTAGATGCAGTAATACTTCAAGCCTTCCTGTTTTCTTATGCTCATTGTTCTGTCTTCAACCAGGAGAATTTACCAGGACGGAATTACACCTTCTGGCAGTGGTTTGATGGTGTGATGGAAGTGTTAAAGAAACATCTCAAGCCTCACTGGAATGATGGGTGAGAATCACTTCCTCTTTTTGTTTTTTGTTTTTGTTTTTTTTGGAGAGGTTTTTGCTATAGGACACGTGCACTCACCAGAAAAAAAGAGATAGACAGAAAGTGAGAAATCACCCCCCAGGGCAGATAGCCACACCACGGTCTCTTCTCCTCCATTTTCCTCTTGGGATCTTGGGCATACATGCACACACACCCGGCATGAGTTTAAGCCACCAGGTCCAGGACTCAAATTGCAGTTGACTACATGGGAGTCCAACGATGTAGCCATCATGCCATCTGCTGGTCCCAAGAATCACTTCTTTGTGGTGTGTGTTTTGTTTTAGCTGTAGGGCACATGCACTTACAAGAGAGACAGAGACAGAGGGAAAGGAGAAAGCACTCCCTACCCCATGGGGAACGGTCACACCACAATCCCCTCTCCTCCATCTTTTCCTCCTTTGGGATGTTGGGCACATGTGCATATGTGCCCCACAGGTCTCTCAAGCCATCAGGCCCAGGGCTTAACCCACATGGCCAGTCATGTGCGATCTAGCTGCTCCAACCAGCAGGCCATGGAGCTGGTCTGAGAATTATCAATTAATCAGCAGTAGAGCATGAGGGTCTTCTTTCTGACATTAATACATCATCCTCTGCTTCTGCTCCTTTGGCCTTTGTGAACCAGGGCTATTTTGGGTTTTGTGAACAAGCAGCAGGCTCATGACCTGCTCATTAACAAGCCAGATGGGACCTTCCTGCTGCGATTCAGTGACTCGGAGATTGGGGGCATCACCATTGCTTGGAAGTTTGACTCTCGTGAGTACCCCACCTTTTTAAGACCCGTCTTGACTGTCTGTCCAAAGATATTCCCTTCTATTGCAAAATTAACAGTTTTTTGAGTACTTATTTGTTGGGGCCAGTACTAACAAAGAAGAATGAAAATATAGCTGTGACATAGCTGTTTGTCATGTGGCAGCCTATGGAAAACCCTGTTATGGGAAATAGTTACTAATTTCAGGAAACAAAAAAATAGAACCATGACACGGGTACCTGCATACAGCAGTCTGCACACAATCAATGGCTTCCCTTTTGAAGTATTTGACTTTTTATTGTTCCACCTGGAGCTTATTTCAGTGAAAGATTTTGTTGATGGGTTGGAGTCCTTAGAATAGAAATAAACTATTTCAATTATTCCTTTATCTGAATTTACATAAGAATATTGCCTTTGGCCATCTCTATCCAAAAATGCTAGCTCTTTCCTCTGACTCTCATGATAAGAAAAGAGCAGTTTCTTTTTTTGGGGGGGAGGGGAAAGGTTTTTGCTGTAGGGTACATGCACTCTCCAGAAAGACAGAGACAGAGGGACAGAAAGCAAGAAAGCACCCCCCAGGGGGGAATGGCCACACCGCAGTCTCTTCTCTTCCATTATCCTCTTGGGATCTTGGGCACACATGCACATGCACCTGGAGTGAGTTTAAGCCGCCAGGTCCGGGACTCGAACCACAGTCGACTACATGGGAGTCCAGCAGCATAGCCATTAACGCCAACTGCTGGTCTCAGAAAAGAGTAGTTTCTAGTTTGTTTTTTGTGACCGAAACATTTTAATAGCTTTTTTTCCTTTTTTTGCTATAGGACGTGTGCTTGCCAGACAGAGAGAGAGAAAGTGAAAAATCACCCCCCGGGGGAAATGGCCACACCACAGTCCCCTCTCCTCCATTCCCCTCTTGGGATCTTTGGCACACACGCACATGTGCCTGGCATGATTCTCAAGCTACCAGGTCTGGAACTTGAATTGCTAAATCAGCCATGTGAAATCCAACACCTTAACCTCCACATCACCTGCTGGTCCCACATTTCTTTTAAAGAATTATTGTATTTCTGGGGAACCAGCAGTTAGCATAATGGCTATGTCGCTGGACTCCCACGTAGTTGACTGCGGTTCACGTCCCGGACCCGATGGCTTAAAACTCACGCCGGGCGCGTGTGCGTGCGTGCCCAGGATCCCGGGAGGAGAATGGAGGAGAAGGGATTGCGGCATGACCATCCCCTCTGGGGGGTGATTTCTCGCTTTCTATCTCTGTGTCTCTGTCTGTCTGGCGAGCGCACGCACCCTATAGTGAAAAAAACCTCTCCAAAAAAAAAAAAAAAATTATTTTATTTCAAATTTATTTTTTATTATTATTTTCCAATGTGACCAGAGAGAGACAGACAGGGAGGGAAGTAAAAAGGGAAGCCACCGGGTCCAGGACTTGAACCACAGTTGGCCATGTGGGAGCCCAGCGCCTTTAACTACCATGCCATCTGCTAGTCTCCTGGCCCCACATTTTAATAGCTTTTAATAGCTCTTCTCTTTCCTCTGGCTAGTGGCATGCTCCCTAGCTTTCTTCCATACTTTTGTAGAGAGAATCGAGGTCAGGGTATATAAAAACTGTTTCTTCCAGAGAAGGAAGGTGGAATACTACTTGAACTTGAAATTACCTGACATCATTGGAACTGTGGGGGAGTGAGGCGTTCATCACCTGCTTTTCTACCCACAGCTTTAAAATACTGTTTCTGTTATTTTGAAATCGAGGTTGCTTTTGGGACAATTTTAATGGAAAGCTCGACTTTGCAGTATATTTTGAGTTTTAAGATTTCTTGTTTCAAAATCATGTTTAGAATGTGATTATTCTGTTTATTAATTTAGAGGAAAGAATGTTTTGGAATCTGATGCCTTTTACCACCAGAGACTTTTCCATTCGGTCCCTGGCTGACCGCTTAGGGGACTTGAGTTACCTTATCTACGTGTTTCCCGATCGGCCGAAGGATGAAGTGTACTCCAAGTATTACACACCAGTTCCATGCGAGCCTGCCACTGGTAAAAATGTTCGCATTCTGATTGGATTATGTTGTGGGTTTTGTGATATTTTTGTTGTGTGTGTGAGTGTGCGTGTGTGTGTGCGTGTGTGTGTGTGTTTCTCTTGCCTAGAAAACCTGCACAATTAGCGTTCTGCTACTGCTGTTTGAACAGTATCCAGGATAGATGTAAACCCCAGACTGTGTTCTTCGGTCATTCAGAAAACATTTGTGCCGCTGATCTCCAATGCCAAACTAAAAGAACAAATTCTTTTCTGTGTTTCTAAATTTTACCTGAGAATGTGTGTGCTCACCAGAGAGAGAAAGAGGAGTGAGAGAACACCCTCGTGAGGAATGGTCATACTACAGTCCCTCCTTCTTCTCTCCCTCCTTTTGGGATTTTGGGTGCCTGGCATGTTTCTCACACTGCTGTGTCTAAGACTCGAACCGTGCAGTTGGCCATGTAGGCGCCATCCACCTTAACCACCACACCACTGGCTGGCCTAGGAACAAATTGTGTCTAACACAAGCATAGCTCAAACAAAATTAGCTAGATAGAGATTTGTTTTTCTGTAATGGAAAGGTTTGCTGTTTTCTGGGCCTAGAAGTGTTACATATTTATTGTAAAAATTTCAGAAAAGTGTAAAAAAGAAAACAGACACTGTACCTGTCACATCCGGAGGTGACCTGCAAACAATGCAGTGGCTGTTCTTCCGCTCTGCATGGATAGTGTTCCTCCTTCAGTTCACTGTCAGGTGCTTACTCAGAACTTCCTGTGTGGAAGGTATGATCTAGCAGAAGGAAGGCAATGAACAAGTAAACAAACAGATATATTTATTTAGAAATAAATGCTTTGAAGAAAAATAAAGTAAGGTAAAGCGATAGAGGGGCGAGGGAGGAGAGAGTGGGTAGCATCTCAAAAGGAAGGTCAGAGAAGGCTTCTGTGAGGAGGCACTATTTGACTACAAAGTACAGAAACTGGCTTTTTTCTTCCCTTTTTTTTTTTTTAACAAGAGGTTTTTGCCTTAGGGCACATGTGGCACCAGACAAAGCGAGAGAGACAGACAGACAATGAGAGGGAAAGTGAGAAATCCCCACCCTCCCGGGGGGATGGCCATGCTGCAGTCCCTTCCCCACCATTCTCCTTCCAGGATCTGGGGCACATATGCACACACGCCAAGCCACCAGATCTGGGACTCAAACAGTGATTGACCATGAGGGAGTCCAGTGACATAACCATTGCACCATCTGCTGGCCCCAGAAGCTGGCTTTCTTACAGAGATCTAGAGAAAAAACATTCAAGGCTGAGATGAAAACCGTAAAAACCCTGAGACAGGAGTTGAGCTTGGTGTGTCTGAAAAGCTTTATGAGAGCCAAGGAGGCCAGAACCAGCTGAGCAAGGAATAGGGTGATAGGAGCTGAAGTCAGAGCACTTCCATTCTTGGAGTTCAAGGTGAAAGGTTTGGGTGTGGGTCATACTACATAAAATCTTTTGTGAGCTGATACTGTTTTCACTTAAATGTATATCCCGGACCAAGTTACAGGTCAGTAAATGCTATTTCCCACCATCGTGATGACTGACCGAGTTCCCTTATATGGTCACTCCAAGATGTATTCCTTATTGCTTAAGATACTTGCAATTTCAGTTACTCACTTTTTTTGGTTATGATTAATGTTAAGATAACCTGGTACATGCATCTTGCATTCATTTTCTTAGCACACATTTCTAAAGTAGAATCTGTGTCAAAGAGTATGTACCTTTTTTATTTTGAGGTTTTTTGCCACAGGATGCATGCGCTCACCAGAGAGAGACAGATAGACAAAGAGAGGGAAAGTGAGAAATAACCCTCCAGAGGGATGACCGTGCTGCAATCCCTTGTCCTCCATTCTTCCTCTCTGGATTTTGAGCACATATACACACGTGCCCAGTGTGATTTTCAAGCTGCCACCTGGCCTGGGACTAGAACTGCGGTCAGCCATGTAAAAGTCCAATGCCTTAGGACCAGCCAATGATGTAATGGGTACATTGCTGGAAACAGCCAGTGACAAGGACATTGGTTCTTCCAGTGGTTTCCATTTCGGGGTCTCACATTCTTTTCTATGACTGCACATGTGTCCTCTGTGATCTCCCACTGCCCGTCTTAATTTCGTTCCCTGGGACACAGAACAAATCCCATTCCTCTGCTGCATCTTTAGCTTTAATCTTTTAGAGATATATTTTTTCTTTTTATAACTAGGATGTAACTAATGCTTGACTTTGACTTATAGTGAAATACCTATTTTTTGTAGTTTGAAGATTTTATTAAAACATCCAAGCCAACATGGAAAATATCTTGACTTTTTTTTTTTTTTTTGCTAAAAGGTGTGCACTCACCAGAGAGAAGGGAGAGAGAGAGAGAGGAGAAAGCAATCCCCATAGGGAATGTTTATGCTGCAGTCCCTTCTCCGTCTCTCCATCCTGTTAGGATGTTGAGTATGCGTGCACACGTGCTCAGCACATTTCTGAAGCTACTGGACCTGGAACCAGGTAGTTGGCCATGTGGGATCCAGCCACTTGACCCACCACGCCATGGAGCCGGCCTAGTAACCTGATATTTTGTTTTGTTGTTGAGCTTCTTGTCTGCCAGATCTTCCTAACAGATATGTCTTAGCCTAAGATACAATTAGGGGGTTGAGCCCTGGCCTAAGAAAACGTGTGATTCTTGGCCCAGGCGTGGCACAGCACTGGTGGGGTGTTCTGCAGTGCTGGAAGCTGTAAAGATCAGGGTTCAGTTCCCGGTTCACCTCTATGTGCCAGACCTATGTGTGAGCCAGTGACCCTGGCTGGGAAGGCTGGGGGAGGGAAACCCTGCTGAGGGTGCATGTCTTTCTCTTGCTCAATAAATAAATAAACTTTTTTTTTTAAGAAAAAGGACGTGATTCTTAAGGAAGATCACATTTTCATTTCATTTGAGAACTTTCTCACCACTGTTCTCTCCTTGGCAGCTAAAGCCGTTGACGGGTATGTGAAGCCACAGATCAAGCAGGTGGTCCCCGAGTAAGTGTCCAGGGACCGACTCTGGTCTTCTGCTGTCACCTTGGGTTCTCCTCCCCACACTGCCACCCTCCCATCCCTAGGCCAGTATTCTGATGTCCTGGGAACCCTGGCTCAGCCCTGGGAGGGAAGTGGGCTTGGCCGTGCCCCAGGCCAAGCACCTTCTTTGTCCTTCTTTACCCTGAAAAAGTCTTAAAGATGCCCCCCAAGTCCCTGCCTAAGGCAGCTGCTACCCAGGCTCCCTGCAGCTGGGCTCTGCTTCCCTTCCTCTGCAGGTTTGTGAACGCATCCGCGGACGCCGGAGCCAGCGCCACCTACATGGACCAGGCCCCCTCCCCAGCCGTGTGCGCCCCGACTCACTATAACATGTACCCACAGAAGTAGGTTGTGTTCTCCGGGGTCTGCAGGGGAGGACCTGGGGACTTGGCCTCTGGGTAGAGCCCCGAGAGCTGGTGGGCAGAGCAGCCCAGGGCTCTTCCAGGTCTGAGGGCACCGGCTCAGGCCTGGCTCTGGCCTATGGGAGGAAGAGATTCATGAAGAAGATAGTGGTAGTTTAGAGGGGGCTTGGGCAAACATCATCTGCCCCTCTCGAAGTGGAGTTAGTCTTGCTCTGAGGGCCGAGTAGACTGATGTGTCCGGACAGCCAGTACAGGACAACTAGGAGGTGACGAGTCAGTCTCTCCATGCAGCTAGCAAAAGCTGCTCCCAGTGTCCCCATCACTAGTTCTTTTCAGGCCTGAGGCTGAGGGGACGGGCAATATTAGGCTGCTCACCTGGTAGGCTGCAGGGTTTGGGGTGGTCTCCGACCAGCTTATCCTCTCCCCCTTCATCTCTTTTTTTTTTTCTTTTCCTCCCAAGCCCCGACTCTGTTCTTGACACGGATGGAGATTTTGATCTGGAAGACACAATGGACGTGGCGCGGCGGGTGGAAGAGCTCTTGGGCCGACCGATGGACAGTCAGTGGGTCCCTCACGCACAGTCGTGACCCGACCTCGCCGCCTTCAGCTTCTCCGTCCTCGCCAGGGGAATTACTCTGTGGATGTTTTAATTCCATGAATCGCTTCTCTTTGGAAACAATACTCATAATGTGAAGTGTTAATACTAGTTGTGACTTTAGTGTCTCTGTGCATGGTGGCACCAGTGAAGGGAGTGTGTGTGCGTGTGTGCGTGTGTGCGTATGCGTGTAAGTTTGCACGTCGTGGTGTTTCTCCCCCAGCTGTCGAGAGGTTAGCTGCAGATTGACGCCACAGATAGAGGCCATGCTTGTTCTTGCCTTGTGTGAGAAGGCAGTTCGTTCTGTGAGCCCGGAACTTAGCTGTGTGTCCGAGGGGTGGCTGTGCGAGTCGGGCAGAGGCAGGAGGCAGCACCTCCTCCCTGCTAAGTCCGCCGCTCTGTCCGCCAAGCAGACAGAAACCATGACTGCTTTTCTTCTGAATAGGTAACTGCCTGTTGGCAAAGAAGGCTGGTTCTCCTCCTTCCTTGTCCCCATCCCTGTGTTCTTGGGTTGGAATGGGGAAAGGGGCAGCAGACCAAGGTTGCTGGGCACCGGAAGTCACAGATGTTGGATGGGTTTTCAAATGGGTTAGCACATAATTTGTCTAAACGTTCTCTTTGTCCTTCCCTCCCTCCTCGCCCCCCTTCCCTTCCTCTCTCTGGAATTGCCGCTCAGTTCTGTGTGTGCTCATGTGGAGGCACATTTGAGGAAGTCAGAGGAAAGAAAGGGTCATGTAAGAGCCTGCCGTGCACTCTCCGTTGCGGAGGGAATGCCTTCCCTGGCTCCCAGGCGCTGAGAGTGTTGCTTGTAACCCAGGGACACTGCCATTCTGGTCTGTTCATCCTTCCTCCGTGCTGCTGGAGACACCGTCTGGTCTGGGGTTTTCTTAATGCTTATTGACAATGGCTTTTTGCAAATGTCGAATGGTGTTTTTGTTTCTAAATCGGGTGTTTCTTGTTTTCCCTTCCCACCCTGACTTGACATCAGAATTCCCTCTTCCTGCAGCAGGACCTGGGTCATTGGTACCCAGTCACCTCATTTCTTTTCACTGTTGACACATGATGTCTTGAGGAAGAGGTGGCAGGGGTGTGGTCTGCACCTGGGGCCAGCTTGTCCAGCAGTGGTCACCCTGCTTTGGGGTGCGGTGTCATGCATAGCTGATTTGGGGAAATGCAGCCAGTGGGTTTGCTGGGAAGCTCGGTAAAGTATAAAAACTAGGCCTCAGCACAACCCACCATTCCTTCTGTAGCTTTACCAGAAGGGAGGAATGGGCCATGGCAGGTGGGGGGAGGCGTGCGCAGGTGTAGCTGACAGGTAGGGCCTCAAAGTCCCCCCTGGACCCCCTCTCCAGAGGAAGGGCATGACCACACCCAGGAGAGGATGGCCCTAAAAACCTTATTTTTATACATTCAAGTAAATAAACATATTTTTTTTACAAAAATAACTTCTAAACTTATCAGTGTTTTGCTGTTAAAGGAAAAGATTCCTCTATAGTAAATTATTTATTGGAAGATGACTTTTTTCAAAGCTGCTGTTTGCCTGGGCTTGGTTTCATACACTGATTTATTTTTCTAGAATTGCTGCCTCTGAGGAGCGGACTGGCCCTCCAGGATATGACTCTTGCCTATCCCTTCAGAGTCGATTAGAACTCCCACCACAAGGGGGCTTGTGGGGGAAGGTGGCAAGGAAAGCCTCAACACTCAGGGCCCCAGGCTTTCTGAGCCCTCCCCGGCCCTCGGACATCACCAGCATTGGGCCTCCTTGTTCCAGTGACAGTGGCAGGGGTGGGGCCCGACTTGCTTTCGGATGGCTGGTGGACCCAGTGCCAGGGCCCACTGAGGGGAGAGCAGCCGGGCAGTCCCAGGCAGCCCCGGCTCATGTTAGAGCTGGCATGGGGACTGGGGGGAAGAGGGCCAACCAGTGCAGCTTCCCTGGTGCGGGGCTCCCAGGCCGAGCTGCCCTCGAGTTTACTGAGGCTGGGCCTAGGGATGGGAGAGATTCCAAATGAAAGGCGCACGCGCTATCTGCATTGTATTTTCTCTCTTCTCCCTGTCCTGCAAACCACAAGAGGAGGCCACAGCGAGTCTTGACCCCCTCGGCCTCTCACCCACTCCCAGACCCACCCACACAGGTCCTCAAATGTCTCCGCTCAATGTGTGGGATGTGCAGGGTTTTGTAGGGGGGTGGGGGAGACTAAAAACGAATATAACTTAAAAGTATACTTTTTATAATTTTTCTTTTTAAAACTTTGTGAAATTCAAATACATATTTTAGTGTCAAGGCAGATTAGTATACAGCCACCAAAAAAGTATTGTGTACAATTTGGGGCAGTCACAAATTGTGTATTTTATGTTACAATAAAGACTTCCTCTGAAAGGACAGTATTGAGTCTTGGTTTTATTTCCATCCCATGGTGTGGGCTTTAATTGGCTTTCATGTACATCGTAAGTGTGACTCTGAAAAACAGAAGGAGCTGGGAATTGGCTGCCTCGGCGGGTGTGGCACTAGTTCTGATGACAGGGCATTTCTTCTTGCTCCTGTAATGTTCTGAAAGTTAGAATGACAGCCTTCATCTCCTGGCCTCCTCACACTCTTCCTGCTAGGAAGCTCATCCTTGACACTTGGCGCATTTAGAGCGCCTGCCCAGAGCCAGGCACTGCCACCTGGATGCTTGAGGAAAGGCAGCTAACAACCGTTGTGATGGGACGTAGGTTCACGCTTCCATAAAGGCATTCCCCAGGTCTTACAGAAGAACAAGGGGACCAACAATGAAGAACTTGAACTGACTTTTTTTTTTAAAGAATTATTTAATTTTATTTATCATTATTATTTTTAAATTTGCTGCAGGACACATATGCTCACTAGAAAGGCGGGGGGAAGCGGGTGGGGGCAAGAAAGCAAACTGCCAGGTCTGGGACTCAAACTGTAGTCAGCCATGTGGGAGTCCAACACCTTAACCACCACATCACCTGCTGGCCCCTAAGCTTTTTATTTTTGGAACTATTTATTTAATTTTATTATTATTGTTTTCCAGTTTGCTATAGGGTACATAGACTCACAAGAGAGAGAGAGAGAAAGTGAGAAAGCAAACCATCAGGTCCAGGACTCGAACCACAGTCGACTATGTAGGACTCCGGTGCCTCAACCGCCACACCAACTGCTGGCCCCAAACTGAGTCTCAAAGAGCAAATAGGAGTTACGAAAGGAAAAAGCACTTAGCCAGAGGGGCGAGCACAGTAGGCCCAGAGACGTGGGACAGCATGTCTGGCTGGAGTAAGGGGTATTTCATGCTCCTCAGAATTGCAAGCATCAGAATCTCCTGGAGAACTCCTTAACAGGTTTCTGGGCCCCACCCAGAGCTTCTGAGTCAGTAAGTCGGGTGGGGCCTGAGCATTTGCATGTCTAACAGGTTCCGGGTGATGCTGGTCCAGACACCACACTTTAAGGACTGATAAGTAATGAGGCTGCAAAGCAGGCCGGGAGAGAGTACAGGGACCTAGCGTGCCAGGATCGGTATTAATTTCAACCGCGCATGAGGGTGTGATGGAATCTTTTCACCTGAGCATGCGGGTAAGCGGTGGAATCTTTTTTTTTGGAGAGAGTTTTGCTTTAGGGTGCGTGCGCTCGCCAGAGAAACAGAGAGAGACAGAGAGACAGAAAGCAAGAAATCACCCCCCACCCCAGGGGGGATGACCACGTGACAATCCCTTCTCCTCCATTCCCCTCTCAGGATCTTGGGCACGCACGCATATGTGTCCGCAGTGAGTTTAAGCCACCAGGTCAGGGACTCGAACCACAGTCGACAACATGGGAGTCCAGCGACATAACTATTACACCAACTGCTGGTCCTTTTCAAGCAAGGAATGACCAGACTTTTTTTTTTCAAGAAACACTTCTCCAGTGACACAATGTATGGATTTAAAGAGAGGTCAAACAGGGACCAGCAGTTAACGTAATGGCTATGTCGCTGGACTCCCATGTAGTCAACTGCGGTTCGCGTCCTGGACCCGCTGGCTTAAACTCACGCCAGGGGCGTGTGCGTCCCGGGATCCCAAGAGGAGAGTGGAGAAGAAGAGATTGCGGCATGGCCATCCCCCCTGGGGGGTGATTTCTCTCTTTCTATGTCTCTCTCTCTCTCTTTCTGGTGAGCACACGCACCCTATAGCGAAAACCTCTTAAAAAAAAAAAAGAGAGAGAGGTCAAACAGGAAATCAGGAAGTGGCTGAAAGACTGTTTCAATAGTCCAATCAAAAGGAGATGAGGCTCCACACTGATCCTGCAACAGAATTGCAGACCAAGTGGCGGACGACCAGTGTTGGGAGCAGGATTGAAGTCTAGACTGATTCGAGTTTCTGGCTTGGAAAGGATTGAGACACCCTCACTAAGATGAAGAGAGAGATACAGGCAGAAAAGGTTGGGGAGAAAGGTTGTGAGTGCAAGAGCTGGACTTAACAAGTTAGGGTGTCCAACTAGATGTATGGTTGCAGAGCCTAAGTGAGTTATCGGGGCTGAGAGAGATTGCGATGGGGGAGAAGAGCGTGTTACTGTCTAGGCGGTGTGGAAGCAGTGAGTGAGCACATGAAGAAAAAGAAGAAGGGGAACTGAGAAGCGCAAAATACCCTTTACTCCAGCCAGATATGCTGTCCCATGTCTCTGGGTCTCTTTCTCTCTTTCTCTCTCTGTCTCTGGTAAACGCACATGCCCTCTGGCAATTAAAAAAATTTATTAGAACTAATTGAAAGTTTTTTTTTATAGGTTTGAAGAATACAGTATACAAATCAATTGTATTTCTATACATTTGAAATCAACAACCCCAAAATAAAATCAATAAAAATATTCAGTGGCATCCAATTGTCATCCTAGCTACTTGGGACTCTGAGGTAGGATTGCAAGTTTGAGGTCAGCCAGGCCACCATGGCAAGACTCTGCTGTTAAAAAAAAAATAATAATAGCCTTACAATAATAAATTATTAAGGGATTTAACAAAAGTACAAAATTTACACTCTGAAAACTATAAAACAATTGTTGACAGACCAGTAGTTGATGGTGTAATGATTATGTTGCTGGACTCCCACATTGTTGGTCATGGTTCAAGTCCCAGACCTGGCAGCTTAAAACTTATGCTGGGTAAATGTGCCCAGGATCCTAATAGGAGAATGGAGGAGAAGGGATTGTGGCGTGGCTATCCCCTGGGGGAGGGGGGTAATTTCCCACTTTCTGTCTGTCTGTCTCTCTGGCGAGTGCATGCTCCTTATAGCAAAAATCTCTCAAAAAAGGAAAGAATAAGAACATTATTTAAAGGAATTAAAGATCTCATTAAATGAGGGAAAAAATTCCAAATTTTTGTATTGGAAGATTTAACATGAATATATAGATTAAATGCAATCCCTATCAGATTACCAGATGACTTCTTTGTAGAAATTGACAAGCTGATTGAAAAATTTGCATGGAATTGCAAGAGAGCCAAGACAATTTTGAAATACAAAGAATAAGGCCAGTTGGTGGTATGATGGTTAAAGCAACTGGATTTCACATGGCCAACTGTGTGGTTTGAGTCCTGGACTCGGCAACTTGGGAAACACTTTGGACACATGCATGCGTGTGCCCGGAATCGAGAAGGGATTGCCATGTGGCCAGCGCCTATGGAGGAGATGCCTTCTCTCTCTCCATAGAGCACAAGTACTCTATGACAAATTCTTTTTTAATAATTATTTTATTTAACTTTATTTATTTTAATTTGACCAGAAAGAGACAGAGAGAGAGATAGATGGAAAGTGAGAAAGCCAGCTGCCAGATCCAGGGCTTGAATTGCAGTTGGCCATGTGAGAGTCCAGTACACTTAACCACCACACCACCTGCCGGCCCCTCTATGGCAAATTAAAAAAATATAAGGGGCCAGCAGGTGGCATGGTGGTTAAGGCAGTGGACTCCTGCATGACTGACTATGGTTCAAATACTGGACCCAGCAGACTTGAAAATCATGCTGGGTGCATATGCATGCGTGCCCAAAATCCCAGCAGGAGAATGGAGGAAAAGGGATTGCAGCATGGCCATCCCCTCCTGGGAGGGGGTTGATTTCCCACTTTCTCACTGTCTCCCTCTGGTAAGCACATGTGCCCTGTGGGGGGAAAAAAAAAAAAAGAAAGAAAGTAGAAGTATTCACACTTTCCAATTTCAAAACTTACTGCAAATCAATGGTAATCAACATGGTATGATAATGGCAAAAGGATAAACATATAGGTCAGTGGAATAGAATTCGGAGTCCAGAAATAAACCAGTGTCTATGGTCAACTGGTGTGTGTGTGTGTGTGTGTGTGTGTGTGTGTGTGTGTGCGTGCGTGTAATGTTTTAAACAGCGTCTCGCTGTTGCAATCCCCTGCCTAGAATTACAAATGGGGATTACATCGCAAGATCTGATGTGGTGACAGGACAAAAAACAAGCAAACAAAAAACATCGGGATTATAGACAAGTGCTACAACACCTAGCATTTCAACTGATCCTTGACAAAGCTGCTGTGTAGTGGCGAAAGAATAGAATTTTCAGTAAATGGCACTGGGACAACTGGATTGCCACATATAAAATAATGAAGTTGGACACTTACCTTATACCCTATACAAAAATTATTCAAAATGGATCAAAGACCTAAATTTAAGAACTACATGACATTGAATCTGGCAATGATTTCTTGGCCATGACACCAAAAGAAAAGCATCAGATGATACTATCAACAGAGTGAAAATGCCACCCACAGGATGGGAGAAAAAGTTTCCAAATCATATATCTAATAAAGGATCAGCATCCAGAAAATAAGTAACTCCTACAACTGAACAAGGCCAAAACCCAGTTTTTAAATGGGCAGAGGCAGGACCAGCAGATGGCAGAATGGTTACGTCACTGAATTCCCAAGTAGTAGACTACAGTTCGAATCCCAGACCCAGCAGCTTGAAATTCATGCCAGGTATGTGTGAGTCTGTGCTCAAGATCCAAAAAAGGAGAATGGAGGAAAAGAGATCGCAGAGCAGCCATCCCCCCTGGAGATGATTTCTCACATTCTGTCTCTCTGGCAAGTGCACAGGCCCTGTAGCAAAAAATAATAATAATAAATGGGTGAGGGGACCAGCAGTTAGCATAATGGCTATGTCGCTGGACTCCCATGTAGTCGACCGCGCGGTTCGCGTCCCAGACCCGGTGGCTTAAAACTCATGCCAGGCGCGTGTGCATGCGTGCCCAAGATCCTAAGAGGAGAGTGGAGGAGAAGGGATTGCTGCATGGCCATTCCCCCTGGGAGGTGATTTCTCGCTTTCTGTCTCTCTGTCTCTCTCTGTCTTTCTGGCAAGCACACGCACCCTATAGCAAAAAATAATAATAATAATAATAAATGGGCAAAGACCGGCCCTGTAGCCTGGCTGTTAAGAGAAGCTGGGTCTGGGGACCAGCAGTTAGCGTATTGGCTATGTCGCTGGACGCCCATGTAGTTGACCGCAGTTCAAGTCCCGGACCCGGTGGCTTAAACTCACGCCGGGCGCATGTGCATGCGTGTCCAAGATCCTGAGAGGAGAATGGAGGAGAAGGGATTGCGGCGTGACCATCCCCCCTGGGGGGTGATTTCTCGCTTTCTGTCTCTATGTCTCTCTCTGTCTGTCTGGCGAGTGCATGCGCCCTATAGCAAAAATCTCTCAAAAAGAAAAAAAAAGGGAAGCTGGATCCACTTGATATTGACCAGGCAGTTCAAATCCTGGCCCCTAGTGTTAGAAAACACAATGGATGGGGACCAGCAGGTGGTTAAGGTGCTGGACTCCCAGTCGACTGCAGTTGGAGGTCTGGACCTGGTGTCTTGCAACAAACCAGGTGTGTGTGAATGTGTGCCCGAAATCTTGAGAGGAGAATAAAGAGGGAATTGGGGGTGATTTCTTGCTTTCTGTCTCTCTGTCTCTCCAGTGAACACATGCCCTACAGCAAAAAAGATCCACAATGGGTGCATGCATGTCTCTCCAGTGAACACATGCCCTACAGCAAAAATCTCCAAAAAAGATCCACAATGGGTGCATGCATGGGCAAAAATCCCTAAATCTCCACAAGATGGAGAAATGGAGGATAAAGAAATTACAGCATGACCACACCCCATGAGAGATTGCTTTCTTCCTTCTCTTCTCTCTCTCTCACTGGAGTGAAGGTGCCCTCTGGCAAGTAATTAAAAAGAAAAGAGCAGGCCAGCCTGTGTTAAGGTGGCTGAATCCCACATGGCCCACTATGCAGTGTAAATCCCAACCTCGTGACTTGGAAAACATGCCAGCCTGTGTGCGTGTGTGTGTGTGCGTGTGTGTGTGTGTGTGTATGCCCAAAATTCCAAAAAGGAGAACAAGATGGGGGAAGAAAGGATTTGTCATGACCATGCCCCATGAAGGGCACTTTCTTGCTTTCACTCTCTCTCTTTCTCTCTCTGGCAAAAGCACATGCCCTCTGGCAAAATTTAAAAAAAAAGAAAAGAAAAGTAACCGCAAGGTCTCAGTAAGATAAAAAGAGTGAAAGTGAGGTAGGAAAACAGAGTTTGAGGGCAGATCATCTAAAGAAGCTCAGGTGTCAAAAGAAGAGAGTTATTCAGCACTACCTAGAGCAGGAAAGAGTTCCAAAGGAGGGTCTTCAGTGTTTGGAGAGCCTAAACCAAGGGCACAACTGGAGGAAGAATTTGACCTTGGACATGAGGAGAAGCCCTCAGCCTAGCGTCCAGGTTCAGCTTTACTGCCAGAGGGGGGCGCTTCACCGTGGTGGGTGCCTTCAAGAAACGAAACTGCTTCCAATCATAAAGAAATATTCCTTGGGGTAAAGCCAATAAGCTGACACAAATGGTAACAAATGGTAAGGTGATAAACGGTGCCGTGAAGTTGTCTTGCTTGAGGGCTGACATGTATGTGCTAGATTGGATGAGGAGACTTAAAAAGTTCATGGAAGAGACCAGCATATGGCGTAATTAGTTATGTCCCTGGACCCCCACTAGTGAACTGCGGTTTGAGTCCTAGACCTGGTATCTTAAAACTCACGTGAGGTGCATGTGTGTGCATGCCCAAATTCCCGAGAGGAGAATGGAGGAGCAGGCACTACAGCATGGCTATCCCCCCTGGGAGTGATTTCTCACGTTCTGTCTCTCTCTGTGTCTCTGGCGAGCACACATACCCTATAGTAAAAAATCTCTCTCTAAAAAAATAAAACCAAGAAGTTCATAGAAGATGCATATTATAAAAAGAAACCATGTATGCTTTCAAAATATTTTGGCCCAAAATAAATTAATTCCATTTCCCCTCAAAAATTTTGAAGTGCCCTTGTAGCTTGTCAATATGAAAGGGTGAGAGTTCTTTGTCTTAGCGATTTTTTTTGCAGATAGCTTGTGGTGCACATCACATTTTGGTTTAATGCTTACTCGGCAGTAAAATTATTTTCTTTCTCTATCAGCTTTGTGGAGGAAACTTCTGGGGTGGGAGAAGATTGCATTTTTTTTTTAACAGTTCTTAAGCTTGAACCTGCTCCAGGATGGAGCGTGCCCCATTCCCAGTTCAGGCTGCTTAATGGCGCCTTTTTCACACTCAGCTTTCTCTTCCTTCACCTGCATGGGTTTAAGAACCACCCTACTCTGGCCCTGACTCCCCACTGACCAGCCTGGGCCGGCATCACGGAGCACACTGCCCTTAAAGGAGAAGGGCCCCTTTAAGAACACCCCAGCTCCGCCCTCAGGGCCGTGGCCGGATTTCCCTGTCTGGGCACCACCCTTTAAAGCCATCGCTCCACTATTCTGGCCGGATGTGTACTGGGACCAGAGGCACTGAAGGGCCCTGGGTGCTGGGAGAAGGCAGTAGTGGGCTGGGGCAGATGCATGTGGGCATGGACCCACTGCCCCAGGCTGAGGAAGGACACAGAACTGGGACAGGGTGGATCCTGAGAGAAAGTTAAGCCACTCGAGAGTGGACAGAGATGTCATCTGTTAAGCTGCCGCTATGTGCCAGGCTCTGTGCCAAGCCCTGTCGGTGCCTTCTGAGAGAGGTATTTTAATTCCCAGTTCACAGATAGGGAAACGGAGCTCAGAGCAGCTAGCTGAATTGCCCAGCGCCGCACAGCTGACCACTGGCAGAGGGAGGATCTGAACTCAGGTCAGTGGGACTCCAAAGGCTTGGTGGTTTCTCCTCTGCATTGCCCGTCCAGTGACTTCTTCCCAAACTGTTTTTCGGGTTCTTCTGTGTGCAATAGAGTGTGGGGGGGAACATGGGCTAACCCCTCATCGCCTCGCACTAGGAATCCTTTCTCTACCAGGAGCTGCTCTGAGATGTTGTGGCCCCTGCTGTTCCTGCTGCTGTTCCCGCTGTTCCTCCTGCTACTGTTGCTGCTGCCACCATTGGCTGTGCTTGGGCAGCAGCGGTCCCAAGATGCCAGGCTGCCCTGGCTTGCTGGCCTCCAGCACCGTGTGGCATGGGGAGTCCTGAACTGGGTAGCGGCCTGGCAGCAGTGGAGACTGGAACAGAGCACGCTGCATGTGGGCCTGAGCCAGCAGCAAGCCCTGAAGTGGTGTCTACAGGAAGCCCGGAGTCCCCACTGTCCCCTCAGGGAGAGCACAAGTGAGTTTCCAAGGGCCTGGGAGGTGACCCAAAGAGAAGGAAACATCACAGTACAATTAGATCCCAGAACCCGGAAACCCCACTCCACCACCTGGCAGACCAGAGACCCATGCTGGGTCCTTCCAGCCCCCTCCTTCCAGCCTCGTCTGGGTTCCTTCTTCAAGGCTCACCAGTATTGCTTGAAACTTGGGAAACTGACTTCATATAGAGTTTCTGGTGTCTTGGGGTTACAGACCTGAGCACTTTCCGGAATCATCTCCCCCTGACCAAGGCTGATCAGGCCCAGGAGGAAGAGTGTCGTGGGCAACTGCTGTCCCCCACCTCAAACCAGTACCATGGGGAGGCCTCTCTGCAGGTAAACCAGGTTGGCCAGAGCCCAGCCCCATCAGACACCCCTACTTGCCAAATCCTCTTATCAAGGTGGGCAAAGAACCCCCAGACTGGGACTCAGGGTCTGGCTTGGAAACCAGATCAACATCCTCTCTTGTCTCTCTCCAGGCCACCTTGTTGGGTCTGGTAGCCCTAAACAAGGCCTACCCAGGAGTGCTGGCTCCAGGAGGCACCGCCCGAGTGACCTCTACATCCCCTTGGCCCAGCCCCCTCCCCTGGCCTGGCCATGCCCTGGGCCATGTTAGCCCCCCTGAAGCCAAGGACCCTGGGGCCCTGCTGCTGGAGGCGCTGAGGTCCCCAGGGCTGAGGGCACTGGAAGCCGGGACTGCAGTTGAACTCCTGGACGTCTTCTTCGGCCTGGAGGCGGATGGCGAAGAGCTGGCAGAGGCAATAGCTGCTGGGAACCCGGGAGCGCCTCTCCCTGGACGGGCAGCGGAGCTGCGGGAGGCCCTAGAGCAGGGCCCCCGGGGACTGGCCCTTCGGCTCTGGCCAAAGCTGCAGGTGGTGGTGACACTGGATGCGGGAGGCCAGGCCGAGGCTGTGGCTGCGCTCGGGGCCTTGTGGTGCCAAGGCCTAGCCTTCTTCTCTCCCGCCTACGTTGCCTCTGGAGGTCAGCGGGACTCAGGGCAGTGAGGTGGGGCAGAGGCCGGAGGTCACATAGCCAGCTGCCTTGCATTGAGCTCTACATAATCATTTTATTTAATCCACCCCAGCATCCTGAATAGAAGGAATTAGCAGCTCCATTTAACAGATGGGGAGACTGAGGCTCATAGAGGTAGAGAGTCTGGCACGACTTCAGGCAGCACCAGGATTGACTCCCCGGTCTGCTACCTCCAGACCCACTGCACTCTGCGTCTTCCCAAGTAGGGCCTCAGAGGCAGTGCCATGAGCCTGGGGAGCCAGGAAGAAGGGGTGGAAGGGCAGCAGTAACGTCAGGTACACAGAGGATTGGGGCTTGAGGTCCAGGGTGTGGCGCTATGGCCTAGCAGAAAGCAGTGGTGTCACCAGATGATGAGGGGCTGCTTTGCTCCCCACAGCGGTGGTGGGCCTAAACCTATGGCCAGAGCAGCCCTGTGGGCTCTACCTTCTGCCCCCTGGAGCCCCCTTTATTGAGCTGCTCCCAGTCCAGAATGGAGCCCAGGAGGAGGCTGCCTCTACCTTCCTTCTGGCCAAGGCCCAGAAGGGCAAGGAGTACGAGCTGGTGCTGACTGACCACGGCAGCCTGACCAGGTGATCACCCGCCCAGCCCCTGCTGCCTCAGGCCCTCTGGACCCTGCCAGGAGCCATGGCATAAGTTAATGGGCCCATGGCCCATCTCACTCCCACTCCTCCCAACCAGATGCCGCCTGGGTGATGTGGTACAGGTCGCTGGCACCCATAATCAGTGTCCAGTTGTCAGGTTCATCTGCAGGTAAGTGACTCCCTGGGAAGCTGGGGGCTGTCCTTGTGTCCTGGACCCTACTTCCTCCTCTACCTCCTGTCCAGGCTGGGCCAGGCCCTGAGTGTGCGAGGAGAAGACATTGGTGAGGACATGTTCTCTGAGGCCCTGGGCCGGGCTGTGGGGCAGTGGCCAGGGGCCAAGCTATTGGACCATGTCTGTGTGGAGAGCCGTGTTCTGGGTAAGCTTCTGCACGGGCTCCTGCCTCCTGCACACGAATCATTTACCCTCCAACCCATACCCACCGTGCCAGGAGACCTCTAGGAAGCAGGCGAGACTCAGCCTCCTGCTGATCCTAACAGACCTTCCCCCGGGAGCTCCCATACTTCCTGCTGCGGTATCGGTATCGGTATCGGTATTGGGCCGTTTTCTTTCCTGGCCGTCTCATATTCAGGAGCAGGCTCTAGGTTCCTCTCTATCTACCCCACTCTCTACCCAGAAATTCTCTCTTCCTACAAACCTCAGAGCGGGGAGGAACAGATGGGGGCAGAGGGTGTTGGCTTTGGAAGGTCTTGGAAAGTATGTGAGCATGTGGGGGGTGTCCACAGATTCCTCCGAGGGCTCCGCTCCCCACTATGAGGTGTTTGTGGAGCTGAGAGGGCTGAGGAATCTGTCAGAGGAAAATCGAGACAAGGTAAAAGGGATGGAGATGTTCCCTTCCTTCCCTTCTGTCTGCATGCCCCCAGGGTGCCTGGAGACAGGGGAGTGATGGGGAAGGGGGGCGGAGTGGGAAGGAGGAGCTCCCTGGAGCTCTGGGAAGGGGGAATGAGTCCCGCAGACACACACTTGCATACATGAAACTCCTAAGCACACGTACCTTGGGGCACAGTCGTGCACACCCGAATGCACACTCGGGTATGCACCAGCCTTACTCCAGCCTCCTGTTCCCAGCTTGACTACTGCCTTCAGGAAGCCTCTCCCCACTACAAGTCCCTGCGGTTCCGGGGCAGCGTGGGGCCTGCCAGAGTCCACCTGGTGGGCCGGGGGGCCTTCAAAGCACTGCGGGCAGCCCTGGCTGCCGATCCCTCATCCCCCTTTCCTCCTGAGATGCCACGAGTCCTTCGGCACAGGCACCTGGCCCAGTTCCTGCAGAGGAAGGTGGTGTCCTGAGCCTGCCCACTTTTCCTGCTCCCCTCACTTATTCCTCTGGGCCTCTCCAGATGGCCAGTCCTTGGCCAGGGTCTCTGACTCTGTGTCCCCTGACATTTGGCCATCAGACACTGAATCTTAGGGAGGCCTTAGCCTCATTGACCAGTTCTGACACTTCAGGGATGTAGCTGAGGCCAGCAGTGCCGTACCCATAGATGCCGCTCGGCCAGCCTGGGGAATGCTGCTGGAGCACGCCCCCACCCCTGACAGCTGTCTCTGTCTGTGTCTCAGCTGATGGTGCCCTCGGCCTCAGTGGGATGCTTGGCCAAGGCACTGGGATGGCTCGAGGTGTGTGTTGGGGGTTAATGTCCCCAGGAGCCACCCATAGTCAAAAATGAACAGGAGTTAAAAAAAAAAAAAAAAGAAAAAGAACAGGAGTTGATGAATAAAGACCTCAGCTTCATTGTCCCAGAGTGGGACAGTTTCAAAGTGTATCCCCCAGGGCTCTGAGTCTCCAGCAGGATGAAGCCCAGCTGCACCGCAGTAACCCACCCTCACTGTGCTTCTCACCAGTTCTCCCCAATGCTTCACTACCTCTGATGCTTCCTGGGATCAGCTCTCAAATAAACCCCTTGCACTCAGAGTTTTGACTCAGGTTCTTCTTTGGGGAAACTGTGTCGTGGTCACATTTACTCCATGATTGCCCTAGCCTGGCTCTCCCTCTCCAGGCCAGCCATCCCCCTTTCAGCCCTGAGCTCCAGGCTGGGGTAGGCCCCAAGCATGAGAGCACAGTAGCCTTCAGGATTCCTACCACAATCCAGGGCAACACAGCAGACGCAGAGTCTCTTCCTCCTGCCTCCTCTGCCCCAGTGTAACCTAGTGAGGGACAGGCTTGTCCCCAACTCCCTTACCCTGCCTTGGCACTGATCCTGTTCCTGACCCAGCACCCACAAAGTGCTCCGTGGTTGGGGAGGAGAGCTGTGGTTCACATGATGCGCCACAGCAGGAAGCCAGCCCAGAGACCATCATAGTCAACTGTCCATACCAGGGAAACAGGTGGTGAGACTTGCCCTGGGCCCTGCCGCTCCTAACCAAGGGCAGCACGCATTCTAGACCAGTGATGAAGTTTCTGGTTCTGCCTCTGAAGTGCTGCTCAATTCCACGTCCCCACATCCAGCCCCTGCACTGCACCCACCCAGCCCCCTGCATTAGCCCAACTCCTTCCTGTTAAATCTTCCCATGGGAACCAGCGGGTGGTGTGATGGTTAAGGTGCTGGACTCCCACGTGACTGACTGCAGTTCAAGTCCCAGACCCAGTGGCTTGAAACTCACATCAGGCTCATGTGTATGCATGTCCAAAATCCTGAGAGAATGAAGGAGAAGGGATTGCAGCATGACCATCCCCGCTAGAGAGTGATTTTTCACTTTCTCTCTGTCTCTGTCTTCCTCTGGCAAGCACATGCACCCTATGGCAAAAACCTAAAAAAAAAAAAAAGAAAGAAAGAAAGAGAAAAAAAATCCTTCCGCAGTGGCTCCCTATTGCCCACAGGATAAAGACCAATTGACCTGATTTTAGAAAGAGACCTTGGGGGCCAGCTGGGTCCACATGGCTGACTGGGAGGTTCAAATCCCTGACCTGGTGGTTTGTAAAACACCCTGGGTGCATGTGCACACATGCCCAAAATTTAGAGAGGAGAATGGAGGAGAAGGCATTGCGGCATGGCCATGTCACCTGAGTGTGATTCCTCACTTTTTCTCTTCTCTGTCTCTCCAGCAAGCAAGCACATGTGCTCTGTAGCAAACAAAATCAAACAAAACCAGCCCTGGCCCTCACTCCTTTTCTTGCTTGAGAGAAAGTGTTCAAGGACCATACCCCTCCATCCCACAGAAGCTAAGCACTGTTACCTCCAGGCCTTTGCTCAGGTTGTCCCTTCCAGAGACTACCTTTCTCCCCAACTTTACCTGATGGGAATCTACTTTTCACATGTCTTTGAGGACTTCCTGCCCCACCCCAGGCAGAAATCATTGGCTCAACTTTGCTGACGTCTGCCAAAGTCCCTTCTTCCACTGAATTATCATTGGGCCCAAACTGCCTCTCCACCTGGGCTCAGGTATCCTTGAAAACTGGGCCAGAGTCTGTGCACACTGTTGCTCCCCAACCCAGTTCAAGGCCTGGCACAGAGCAGGAGCTCAATAAACACTGCCCTGAGGGCTGGTCCTATGGCCTAGTGGTTGAGGTTAAAAGGAGCTGGATCCCACATGACCAACTAGGGTTGGAATTCTGGCCCAGTGGATTGAAAAACACGTCAGGCATATATGCATGCATGTCCCAAATCTCAACCGAGTGGAGAGGTGAAGCAGGGATTGTGGTGTGACCATGCCCCATGAAGGGGTTGTACTTTCTCCCTCTCTGAGTCAAACAAAAAATACCCCCCCCAAGACACTACCTTGAATAAGACAGACTCGAGAGCCAGTACATGCCCTTCACCCCATGGTCGCTCAAGTGACAGTGGAATGGGATGTAGTCCCTCTCTCCTCTGGGCAGCCCACTCTCAGGAGAAGGCTGGGGAGGCAGAAGGTTTCTACCAGCTTCTGGAAGCACCAGGGCTGGCTGCTGCCTTTCCTCCCACTACCAGGCTGGGTTTCAAGGTTTCTTGTTTCAGAGTTGGCAGGACAGGCAAAAGGAAAGGAGAGAGCTGGAGGGAAGGACGGGAGAGCTAAGAAACCTTTTTCCTGAAGGAAAAAAAAAATCCCTGGAGTCTGACAAGGAGCAACAGGGAGAGGGTCTGAAGCGTGGCTGGCTCCCCATCCCCCACAGCCACGGTGTTTGCTGGGTCTCACGACTGCCTGTTCTCCTGCCTCTAATTAGCAGCCCCCCACACACATATCATTGTCGGTCAGCACCCCAGCCAAGGCCTCTTTTGTGCTCTCAGATTCCTGGGTGCAGGGTGGCCTCATTAGTGCCCGGAGACCACCTCATCTCCAGGGAGCAGGCAGACAGACAAGGGTAGGGGCGCCAGGGACACAATGATTCGGCCCCTATCTTCCAACGCTTCAGCGGCCATTCCTCGGACCCAGCCTGGAGACAGACCCCCAGCAGGAGGCTAATTTTAGACCTGCCTTTGTCTGGCCCCAGAGAAGACGCAAATGTCCCTCTTCCCGACCACCTCAGAGCACTATAAACCCCAGGTCCCTGGCAGCAGGTCACAGTGGACAGCTGCCAGGTTCCAGGCTACTCGGACCACTGCAGACATCTTTCCAGGCTGCCCCACCCTGAGCTCCAGACACAATGAACCTTCCCTCCACAAAGGTAAAGGCCCAAAGACTGAGGGGTGTCTCACCATACCACTAAGAGTGCTTGCTCAGGGGCAGGAAGAAAGGCTGAAGGGTGTCTGCCATGGGCTTGTCCTCCGTGGGCTCTGGAGGCGGGAGACTGGGTGGGCCCTGGGCAGAGAGTCCTCGGTGGCTAATCTGGGTATTTTGCTCTCCTAAGGCTTCGTGTTTATTGAGCACTTACTACAGGGCAGATGCTGTTTACACCTGCCATCTCATGTCCTGCTCCTGGTAGCTATGCATAACAGGAATTATCACCCAGGTTACAGGCGAGGAGGTCGTGTGTGTGTTCCCCCCCCCCAAGAATAGGAAGTGGGTCTAAAGCTGTTTCCCCTGCCAGGGAGCCAGCAGATGAGATGGAGTCCTGCCAGTCTCCAGTTTCCATATGCGAGCTGCTAAGGGCAGGGGAGGACTAAATAGGGTCTGTTTCCCAGAGCTCACAGCTTCAGGTGCAGACAGACTCAGACTAGCCTGTCTGCGGGTGGAGTGGTAAGCGCTCTAATTGAGGTACAATGGATATTCATTCTGCCCGGGGTCTCAAAGATCAGAGGAGATGGTGGAGATGTTCTGCTGGGTCCTGAAGGGTGAGAGGGTAAAAGGAGACGCATGGGAGCTTTCTGACAGTAACAGCGCAGGGGCAGGAAAACTAAGTGACAGTGGGGGTGGGGGGGAGCGCAGGACAGGAGCTGGCTCGGGCCCAGCTGGACAGGGCTTGGGCCTGGGGGCTGGTTGCCCACGCGGCGGGAAGACCCTCCAGCGTCCTGTCTCCGCCTCCCCAGGTCTCCTGCCGCTCCTGCTGCTGCTGCTGCTGCTGCCTCCCGCGCTGCTGTCTCCCGGGGCGGCCGCGCAGCCCCTGCCCGACTGCTGTCGACAGAAGACGTGCTCCTGCCGCCTCTACGAGCTGCTGCACGGCGCGGGCAATCACGCAGCCGGCATCCTCACGCTGGGCAAGAGGCGGCCGGGGCCCCCAGGCCTCCAGGGTCGGCTGCAGCGCCTCCTGCAGGCGAGCGGCAACCATGCGGCCGGCATCTTGACCATGGGCCGCCGCGCAGGCGCAGAGTCAGCGCCGCGCCCCTGCGCCGGGCGCCGTTGTCCTGTGGTGGCCGCTACTTCTATCGCTCCAGGAGGACGGTCAGGGGTCTGAGCCCCACCCTTTCCCTGCTCTCTTCCCTTTGCCCACCTAGTGTCAGCTCCCAGATAAATGGCAATAAAGAGGAGTTCCGATTCATGCAGCTCGTCTCTGTGCCTGCGTGGTCTCATCCAGCCCTCTAGGGGGCATGAGAGCGTCCTACATGTATATAAAGACTTGAGGGCCCCGGAAGCTCAGTCCGATTCATGCAGCTCGTCTCTGTGCCTGCGTGGTCTCATCCAGCCCTCTAGGGGGCATGAGAGCGTCCTACATGTAAACTCTATAAAGACTTGAGGGCCCCCGAAGCTCAGCTCTGGGCACCAGTCTCTCAGCGTGTTTATCGTTGAGACCAAAACACTCTTAGTTGGAGAACTCTCAGTGCAAGGAACCGGGCACAGGCATTTGTGCGGAGAGAGCCGCCCATGTGCGTGCTTGGAGGGGGATTGCGGGACAGATGCGTCACATGAGGCTCTACTAGTCATTTTGTATGGAGGCCTTTTTGGAGAGACACATGCCCGCAGAAAGAGCAAGGAAGGCTGCAAAGAGGAGTGGAATCTGCCTGGAACGGGTGGGAGTTGAGCCTGACATTAGGACAGGGAATATGAGTTTCAGCTATGAATTGTCCAGAGTGGCTGCAGCAGAGGTATAGAGTGTACTTTGCTTTTGCTTTTTTTTTTTTTTTTTGGTAGATAACTAGTAGCCACAGGAAGTTCTTAAGCAGGGAGGAGGCAAAATATTTCTGCAACTCTAGCTGAAGACACCTGTTATCGGTTGAATTGTGTTCCTCCCCAAATCCATACATTTAACCCCCAACCCTTCAGAATGTGACTTTGTTTGGAAATAAGAGTACTTGCAGATGTAATTAGTTAAGATGAGGTCATACAAGAGCAGGGAAGACCTCAGATTCCTGACTGGCAGCCTCATATAAAGGGAATTGGGGCACAGAAATACACAGGGAGAAACCCTTCTGCATGAAAGTAGAGATTGGAGTAATGCATGTACAAGCCACAGAATGCCAAGATTGCCAGCAATCCATTAGAAGCTGCGGGAGAGGCATGCAACATGTTTGAAAGAACCAAGCCTGCTTTCCCTTTAATCTTGGACAGACTTCTAGCTTCTAGAACTGTAAGACAATAGATTTCTGTTGCTTAAGCTAGCCACTCTGTGGTACTTCATTATAGTAGCCCTAGAAAACTAGCATAGCGGGCCAACCCATGGTGTGGTGGTTAAGGTAGCTGGATCCCATGCGGCTGACTGCAGGGTTTGGGTCCCAGATCTGCTGGCTTAAAAAACATTCCAGGTGTATGTACACGTGTACATCCAAAATCCCAAGAGGGGAATGAAAGATGGCGTGGTCATCCCTCCTATGAATGGGGAGAGGTGTCTTTCTAACTTTTTGTCTCTCTCTCTAGGAAATGTGCACATCTTGGGGGAAACAAATACAAAAACATAACAAAAGTACAGACACAGGAAGATGTGGCACTTTTTAGCCATCTAACATTCCAGAAAAGCCTGCCTTCCCACCTGCCCAGGTTTCCACTCCCTCTGATTTTAGCTGTTTGGTCCTGGAAAGTAGCCATACTCAGCCAGGGCACTTGGCTGCCTCAATAATTTTCTGCTTAGGTGGTGAGAAAGTCCTGTGTCTGGTGTCCCCTGGGTCCCTACTGCTGCTGCGTTTGTTCCGTCTTGGAGAAGATCAAAGTCCACCTGTGCATCCTTGGAGGTTTACAAACCATGACTCTGCCCACCTCAAAACTAACTTTCTCAGGCCCAAACTGGCCTCCAGCCTCTCTTCCACTTGACGGGCAGGAAAGGGAAAGAAGGTTAAATCAAGATGGTAAGAAGAGGGAGAACAAAGAGGCAACTGCCCTCCAAGACATTTATTTTGTGCCAAAGACATGCATTATGCCATCATACTCTTACAATAATTGCATGAGGTAAGATTCATTAGCTTCATCTTGCAGATGAGTAAAGTGAGGCTTCCAGAGGCTGTCACACAGGCTGTCCAGCTCCCCAGGCTGTCCAGAGCTGGAGTTCCACCTGCTGCACCAAAGTCTTTTCACCCCACCGCCTGCTTTGCTCAGAGGTGCAGGGTACTCTAGGCAACTGAGGCAGAAGGAGATAGTTAGGGTGCTTTCTAGGAGGTGGGGGTTCCAAACCTTCGGGTTGTTGATTCCCCATTGGGGCAAAACCAATCTTTTAACCCTTGCTATCTCACTGGAGCAAGAGGCCTGGAGGCGCTGCGGAATACGCTAACTCCAGCAGGCGGCACTGTGAATCAGGCACAGTCCCAGCGTGGGCAGCGCGCGGGGAAACCCGCGAGGTGGAGCCACGGGGAGCAGCCTGGTAGCCACGCGAGGGGGCGTGGCCACCCGAAAGGGGCGTGTCTGTCTCTCAAGCCCCGCCCCACCACTTCAGGCCTTCCCTCCCGGTGGGCGAGTCCGGAATTCTCTCCTCGAGAGACGCGCGTGGGCCGCTCCCCTCTGGGAGGAGGGCTGCTGAGAGGGGTGCGAGTGTCGTTGACGGCCCCTCCCCGTGCGGGGCCACGTGGCGGGCGCGGGCCGAGCCCGGGGGGCCGGGCCTGTGGGGAGGTGGGGGGGGACCGAGGCGGCGCCGAGTGAAGCCGAGAACTACGGGGTTCGGAGCAGAGAGGTAGCGGCTAGAGGGACGGGAGGAGGCAGGCGGGCGCATGGGGCGCCCCGGCCTCGCCGGCAGCGCGCCTCCTCCGGCCCGGCCGAGCTGAACGCTCCCCAGCGCAGCGACTCGAACCCGCGCCCCGGGGCCATGCCGGTCATGAAGGGGTTGCTGGCCCCGCAAAATACCTTCTTGGACACCATAGCCACCCGCTTTGACGGCACGCGTGAGTGGGGCGGAGGCTGGAGCTGGGATTTCAAGCTGGGGGCCAAGTCTGGGCGATTCGGCTCGGTCCCCTGGATGTGGTGAGATACGAGGCAAGGAGAGAGAATGGAGTTGAGGGTCTAGAAACTCCCGAAGCCGCGGTAAAGGGACCAGGCAGGGAGTGCCCTGTGAGGGGAGGAGGGGAAAGGGCCAACAGAGTGGGGGGCTAAGGTTAGGGGGTGTGACTCAGGCAGAAGAGGCTCTTTGTGCGGCAAAACGCAGAAGGGGCCTTGGGAGCCGCCCACTCCCGGGCGGAACTGTGCTGGGGGCGTGAATGGGGGTATCAGAGACACGGAGGTGGGACAAAGTAGCCGGCCGTTTTGAGCTCTTTTCTGACTACTCCAGCTCCTGTATGCTCCAGGGGGAGGAAAAAAAAAAAGACAGAGATAAAAGATCAAAGATCGGGCTCTGGAAATACCTAGCTTGGATTAAGGTCATGCGCCCTCAAATTATGGGACGTCTGTGTCTGAGGTGGGTGAGGCGGAAGGAAGGGGGCGATCGGTGCGAAGGAAGGAACTCCCTGCTCGCCCACCCCAGCTGGGGTTACAGGTTCAGCACCTTGGACAGCCGCACTACTTCTTCCCTGTCTCTTCTCCCGCCATGACTTCTTCCTTCTCTGCAGCCAAGACATCTCCCCCTTCCCCCTTGGGAATCCTGGCTGGGATCTGGAGGGTGGGGGAGCTGTACCCGAGGGCGGAAACTGAGCCACTGGGGCTCTACCCGCCTCCCCACCCTCCCTGCCCCACTCACCTCCCTTGTTTCCATAGCGCCCATCACCCAGGCAACAGGCCACGGGATGGAAGAAGGAGGCTGCGCCCAGGGCCCAGTGCCTCCCAGGCCCCTCAGAGTCCCCATTAGCTGCCCTGACCCCAGACACTCATCCCTCCTGGTGCCTCTGGACCAGTTGTCTCGGGCCCATCTCTAAGTTGAGACTCTGGGGTGGCTGGAGCTCCTACTGGAGCAGGAAGGAACCGGCTTAGGTTTTGCTGCTGGGGGTTACTGGAGTTATACCTTCAAAACCTTCTCCTGTCAGACTTTGAGCACTGGGGACAGACCACCTGCAATTAACTAAAGGAATATAAAAGGTGGACTTTTCCCTCAAGACATACTCTTCACTGTCTTGCCCCCATCCACACTATGGAGAGTCGGGAGTTCGGATAACCTTTGTCTTTTGGTTTCCGATCAATAAAATGGGTATGATATCACCAGGATCTTATGGATATGTTCTGAAAGCTGAACAAATGTGGGGAAATCATTTTGACTTATTATGTACCAGAACTTATTCTCCCCAAGTTAACTCGTGTAACTATCACAACAACCAGATGAGGAAGATATATTACACCCCACTTTGCAGATAAGGAAGCTGAGACACAGAAGAGGTAATGAACTTGCCCTAGGTCATGCAGTCAGTTAAGCAGCAAGCGGAGGGATCTGGAGCCCTTGCCCTTACCATGCTGTCTGCCTTCTGCAGTAAGAGCCCACCAGCTTGAAGGCAGGGAGATGTACCGCATGACCTGTTAGGTTCCTTCTGCAGCCCCCCAAGCAGTCCTTGCCTACGTTATCTGTCACCCTTGAGTCCTTGTCTCTTTGCTTTATCTCTTCTTACTCTCATTTTGAATATCCCAAAGAGGGATTAGGAACCACTTGGAAGCCTGGGCAACTTCTGGCTCTGAGATCTCTTTCCACAACTTGGAGGTGCTGCCCACCCAGAAGCTAGCTTCTCTCCTGGCCTTGTCTTAATCTTGACCTCTTCTTTCTACAGACAGTAACTTCTTGCTGGCCAATGCACAGGGCCCACGTGGCTTCCCCATTGTCTACTGCTCTGACGGCTTCTGTGAGCTCACAGGCTACGGTCGCACCGAAGTCATGCAGAAAACCTGCAGCTGCCGTTTCCTCTATGGCCCAGAAACTAGTGAGCCAGCCTTGCAGCGACTGCACAAAGCCCTGGAGGGCCACCAGGAGCACCGGGCTGAAATCTGCTTCTATCGCAAGGATGGTGAGGGGCCCGTTCTGCAGCTCTGCCCACACTTGGGGCCTTACTCAGAGTCCACTGGGCACAGTAGAAGCCTGGGTGCTCATCCCCAAACTGCCACAAGCTGACTATGTGACTGAGTGCATCCCTGGCCTTCTCTGGGCCTCAGTTTCCCCACTTGGAAGATGGAGGAGTTGGCTCTGGGGTTCCTTCGAGCTTTTACCATGTCCAGCAACGAAAGGGGTAGGGATACCAGTGTGCCATGAGCTGCTCACCTCCTCTTCCCCTCTCTTCAACGCCTACAGGCTCAGCCTTTTGGTGCCTCCTGGACATGATGCCTATCAAGAATGAGATGGGGGAAGTCGTGCTGTTCCTATTTTCCTTCAAGGACATCACTCAGAGTGGAGGCCCAGGACTTGGCCCTGCAGGAGGCCATGGAGACAGTAATCATGGTAACCGCAAGTCTGGGCAGGAGGCCCGAATGGTCAGAAGTCTGTGCTTGAGGTTTTTTTTTTCCCTCCCCAGCCTCATGGGGTGTACTGCAACTTCTCTCTGCACCTTGTTCCCAACAGAAAACTCCGTTGGCAGGAGGGGTGCCAGCTCAAAACTTCGATCTGCCAGGAGACAGAGCCGTACTGTCCTACACCGACTGACTGGCCACTTTGGCCGCCGGAGCCAGGGAGACATGAAGACCAATAATGTGAGTCCTTTCTGCATCCCAACATCTTTCAAGTCCTCCAGCCTTGACTGGGAGGCACCTCTGCTCCTGCCTCCCATTTCTCTGTCCGTCTGATCTCTCTCCACTGGCTTGCTCCTCCCCTGCCCGATTCCCACATACTCGCCTCTGCTCCACCCCATACTCCCCCCCACACCTCTATCAATCCCCATATCCCTTGCTTCCTTAGGTGACTGGCATTGCTCTGCTTTGATGGCGTCACGGGAGGGCTCTGGCAGCTGTCACATGCCCTACCCCCTGGGTGATAGGGTTATATCATGAGGGAAAAAGCACAAGCTGCTGTGGTCCTATGGAGAGAGCCCTACTGAGGGCCTGGCATCTGTCCCATGTACCACCTCCCAGGATCCTGAAAGGGCCAGGGGATTAATTCTCCACCCCTCTGTGTAGTCTGCTAGGACTACACAGCCCAGGGGTAAGTGTTGCCAGCACTTGACCCCCAGGGCATACTCAGTCCCCTTCCTCTGGATTCCCAGAACCCAGGAGAAACTTAAAAAGAAAACTAGTTACCCCTCAAGCTAAGGCATGTGCCTGATTTGTCATAATCCCCTTGTCAAGAAGGGTTGAGTGTCAAGCCTTATAAATACCCCCACAAAATGTGATTGGTTCAGAAAGGAGCTTGGGAGAAGCTTGGCAGTATCTGGTGCCAGCCTCTGAACCCCTCTCCTGTGCCTTCTATCTCTATTCACAGTCACCCTTCTAGTGCCTGCCTCCCCCTTTCCGCATCCCCTGCTTCTCCTCCCCCCCAGCCTTGGCTCCTCTTTCCCCCCAAGTGTTCCCAACCGCCACCCCTTTCCCCTTAGAACGTGTTTGAGCCAAAGCCATCAGTGCCCGAGTACAAGGTGGCCTCCGTGGGGGGGTCCCGCTGCCTCCTCCTCCACTACAGCGTCCCCAAGGCTGTCTGGGATGGCCTCATCCTCCTCGCCACCTTCTACGTTGCGGTCACCGTCCCCTACAACGTCTGCTTCGCGGGTGATGACGACACCCCCATCACTTCCCGACACACCCTCGTCAGCGACATTGCCGTGGAGATGCTCTTCATTCTGGGTCAGACACTGCTCCACCTACTGTGGTGGGTGGCCTGGGGGGCCCACTCGGCCAAGCCTCCCTCCGTTCTGTGCCTGCAGGACTGAGATCCTTTCTGGGTCTTTAATCTCCACTGACTCATGGACCCTGACCCCTGCAGCCTTCAGCCTTGTGACCTATCCTCCCTAAAGACCAGCCAGAAGCCTAGTCTATCCCTGCCATTCCTGCCTCTCCTCCATTCTGGTTTCCAAGGCTTGTTCCCAGCTTGCCCAGTTCCTTGACCCCTTGCCCTGAGTCTCCAGGCCCAGGCCCCCTAGTAACAGCCTCTTACACCCCCAGATATCATCTTGAACTTCCGCACCACCTATGTCTCCCAGTCCGGTCAAGTGATCTCTGCTCCTCGTTCCATTGGCCTCCACTACCTGGCCACCTGGTTCTTCGTCGACCTTATTGCCGCTCTGCCCTTTGACCTCCTTTACGTCTTCAACATCACCGTGGTGAGCGACCCCCGTCCTACCATGCAGCCCAGCCTCCAGCTTCAGCATAGCACCTCCCTTTAGGAGACGGACCCCAAACCCAGATACAGATCTTCCCATCAGTCCATCTGCAAATGTTTATCCGGCACCTCTGTGGGCACAGCCGTGTGCTAGATACTGGCAAGGAGCTGAGAGGGTCTGTGCTCTTGGAGAGCTCTGCTCACAATCTTTGAGGGAAGCTGAGACAAATGAAAAGCTAACTATGGCTATACAGGCGGCATTGGTCTGATGCCAAATGAGGGGTACTTTTCACATTTTTATTTAACAAACAACCGATGAGCATTTAGCTGTCTGCAAAGCACTGTGCGGGGCATGGTCACTGTGGGGAGAAGGGACAAGAATTCAGCCTGCAGCCAGCTGAGCTGGTGAGGGAGCAGGAATACTGGAGGGGACATCAGGGACAGAAGAGGCATTCAGGAGTGGAAGATGGGGTCCAGTGCGGCTGCACTGAGGCTGGGTTGACCTTGGAGTTCCAGCCTGGAACATGAGCATAAAATCGTGTAAAAGCTGTCTCAAATCTGTCCAGCACCTGGGAGGCAGAAGCACCGCAGGTGGGCAGAGGCTGGAGTGGGCTGGAAGGGTTCCTGGGGTAGTAGAGCTGACCTTGAATGGGGAGTAGGATTTGGCTGGCAGGAGAGAGTGCGTTTGGGGGAGCATAAGTCAAGACCAGGAGCTTGAGGCTGTTGGTGGATGTGGGGAAAAGAAGATGCCAGAACCAGTGTCATCCTGGCTCTCTGGGGACTGCCTGGAAGTGCCCTGAGCAGTCAGCTTAGACCAGCCAGCAGAGAGCATGTCTTCTCAAGCCCAGGGTGAGGCAGCCCCCCATGTCCCCAGACCCCCTCGGCTGTTGGGTGGGGAGATGGAAAGCAGTTTCCTTGTATGCTCTCCCGCTGCACTCAGCTATAGCAGGAAACCACCTACACGCAGCCGGATTTAACTAGCCGCCAACGGGCTGTGGGCCTCGTCTCCTGGCTGTGCACATGTGTGTGCACGCTCCCACACACGTGCATGTGTGTATGTTTGTCCCAAGGCTCTGGCCATTCTGAGCAGAGCCCCCCACCCTTTTTAGGAGTGGCCCCCTCCTGCTCTGTGCCCATCAGGCTGTATCAGCCTGGAAGATGGCTGTCCCTGGGGAAGAAGGAGCGCTGCAGAGTCCCCTGCCCCTCCTCTCAGGAAGTCCCCTCCTCCGGTACCTTTGGGAGCACTTTACAGTTCACTACATCCTTTCACACACATCTCATAGTTAACCCTTCAGGGCAGACTCTCTTATCCTTCTTTCTCAGAGGTAGATGCCAAGGCTCAGAGAGGTTAAACGACTCGCTGAAGGTCAAATAGCTAGCAGTGGCAGGCAGGAGATTAGAATCAGAGCTTCAGACTCCTAGTCTTGTATTCTTCCCAGCATCCCGCCCTGCTTCCCAGGGAACCAGGTACCTGACTGATGATCTGGTTTAAGGAAGGTGAGGAGCAACA